TGAGCCGAAGGCAGTCACTTAACCGACTGAGCCACCCAGGCGCCCGACATGTAGCAATTCTTAGTGTGCGTATCTGGCAAGACCGTGAAGTTGAACAGCCTGTTATCAGAGTGTTCTGAATGGAGTGTTGGGAGATACTTTTTTTTTTTTTTAAAGATTTTATTTATTTATTTGACAGAGACAGAGACAGCGAGAGCAGGAACATAAGCAGGGGGAGTAGGAGAGGGAGAATCAGGCTTCCCGCTGAGCCGGGAGCCCGATGTGGGACTCGATCCCAGGACCCCGGGACCATGACCCGAGCCGAAGGCAGTCGCTTAACCAACTGAGCCACCCAGGTGCCCCGGGAGATACTTTTGTTTATGTTAATAAGGGGAGAAAATGAAACAACAGAAACATGTCCTAAGTTTTATCATTCATCAGTGATGCAGGCAACTTCTTTGCTGAATCAGATCCTACTTTTTGAATACTGGAAGAAGATTTTCTCAATTTTTTTTGGTGCTGTTCACAATGTTAATACCTTTTAAGTTTAATCTGAGCTTTATAGAAAGTTTATTGACGGTATCATGGTTGAAAGCTGGCTTAATGGGGAAGGTGGAATTTCAACTACTCTCAATATAAAGAAAAGTCTGGGCAATGGTACCTTCTGTGGATGGAGGGACATTACTGTGTAACTGGTAATAGGATTTTCTTGAAGAAGGTAGCCATTTTTTCAGTAAAAAAGCAAGTCAGACATTGTTCATTGATGTTCTAGGTCACAGGGTGAAACAGATATTCTCCAGATGCATTGATTTCCTTCTTTCCCTTTTCTTTTAGGGCTTTCCAGGAAATGCAAATGCAGACAGTGTTGTGTACTATAGACTCCAGCCTTCTATCAAAGCCCGATTTCTGCGCTTCATTCCTTTAGAGTGGAACCCCAGGGGCAGAATTGGAATGCGGATCGAGGTGTTCGGATGTGCCTACAGTAAGTGTTTGTTTATCCAACACACTGACATAGATTTCAAAGGAGATGTTTTGAAAGCCAACCTGCATGCTGAAATTGACTTTATGGCTATGTAAAGAGATACAAAAACAGGAATGATTCTTGTGGAAAGCTTTTTTTGTGCCAATACATGGTAATATTGACTTTAGCGTTTGGCTTTATATTTTAAATCAGAAATGGAAGCATTTTATAGATAGATCGATCCTTAAAGAGATAAATAGATACAGATACCTGTTTATAGACGTATGTGAATCCATTTACCCAAATCTAATATTATTAACTAGACCCTGACTTTTCAAATATTAGAGTTTTCCCCCATGGACTATATTTGATGATGTTTCACTTAGGCACCCTGAATTTAATAAAAGATACAGTGTTCCATTTAGTGTAACCAGTCAAATGTCAGGACACGAAAGAATGTTTGTCTCTCCAGCCTAAAAATAATATGCCACATAACTCACTTATAAACGTGCTGTGCCTTCAGCATAAATTCATAGAAAAAGTAAAGACCTCTGCCAAAATATAAAATGTGTTTGAAATACTTTCACATAAAAAATGTTAGAAGCCACAGATTTCACTTAGTCTCCTCTTAATGAAGCATTTTATTATATCTTTTTGTGGGGCAGGGGCCTAAGAGTTATTGATAGCCTACCTAAAGCCACACCATCCTGTTAGATGCTCTTCTATTATAGAACAATGAGTTAGTTAGTATGATCTACAATTATCAGATAAGCAGTCTGAGGTTTGGAGAGATGCCGTAATTTGCCCAGCATCTGATGCCTAGCACGCAGAAGAATCTAGAAGAGAGTCCGGGACTGTTCAGTTCCTCTATATCACTCTTCCTCTAGTGAACCTTTATTTTTTAGCCATGAAAGGTTTTTTTCACACATATTTTATCACTTTCTGATGTAAGTCAAGTTAGGCTCTGGTTCACTTTATTTGCAGGAAGGGAAGGCATGTCACGCAGGGGGCAGGCAACTTGTTGACATTGTCTAAACTGTGTCAGACAGACAAACTGTGGTGTACAGACTGCAGGTCTCCTTGCACTGGTTGGTGATGTTCCTGGCACCGCCCGCCCCCACCCCCTCGCCCCGGCCCAAACACCAATAAAGGTAACTGACCAGCCTTTTGTTCCTGCCAGGGCCTACAGAATAGTGATCACAGTATGAATATCAAGAGTAATAATAATAATAGCAATAATACTAATATTAATAATAATTTTTTAATATTTTATTTATTTGTCAGAGAGAGCGTGAACACAAGCAGGGGAGCAGCAGGCAGAGGGAGAAGCAGGCTACCCACTGAGCAAGGAGCCCCATGTGGGACTCGATCCCAGGACCTGGAATCATGACCTGATCCGAAGGCAGCCACTTAACTGACTGAACCACCCAGGCATCCCCCAATAGTATTAATTTTTTAATGCTAGATATAGCAACGTTTTATTGAGTGCTTATTATATGTCTAGCATTATATTAATAGGTAGTTTATAATTTTTTAAAAGTCCGGGTAAATATTATAAGATAACTACTCCATTCTCCGACTTTGCAAATGAGGCAGCTAAAAGCTCAGGGAGGATGGCTTGCTCAAGCCATACTGATGGGAAGTGACTGAGCTGGGTTCGCAGCCAGGTCTGCCCAACTCCAGAACTCAAGTGCGGGCTCAGGCTCTGTCCAGGTGTTAAATCCTAGAGATGAGCCATGGGCAGCTTACTTCTCACTGTCTGCCCACTTAATCTCTTGGCTTCAACAGTTTAGCTTAGCTGCTCCTATTATGTGTTAGTTCCTCCTTTGCAATGATCCATTTGAATAAAATCATCCTTTAAAAAAATATCCCACCCCAAACTGCAATTCTGGAACACAGAACCTGGACAGTCAGTCTTATTTGTCTTTGGATCATAGAGATTAGCAGAGCCCATGCCACACAATGGATAATTAGCAAAACAAATTTCAAATGCTTCATATTTATAGTTACATTCTCTACTTAGAGCATCCACCTTGCAAAATATTTATTTGTCGTAGTATAAAAATAGCTAACAGTCCTTGAGCACTTACTCTCTGTCAGGTATAGTTTTTATAGGCATTCTAACTTAATCCTAAAAATCACCCATCTAATAGAGTCTTAGAAATATTAAGCAATTTTCTCTGTCATACGCACTTAATACACATTCAGTCTAGGATGTAAATTCAACCTCAGTTGAACAAGACTATTGACCCTGTTTTTCCAAAACTAAAGCACCACTCATGATGTCCCCATGGACGTGACTGCTGAGGAACAAGTTCCTTTGAGTTCTCTCTGCCATGCACTCCATGGTTACTCAGATCTCCCTCCACTTTCCTTGATCTGCAGCCCTATGGGACAGTTTTTTTCCTGTGACTTCAGTTGCTGTCTCTTGCACATTGTCCACGCAATTAATCAGCCTCCTCTTCTCACTGACTGGCCACTGAAGTAGCAGTACCGAGGGCCAACGAGATTTTAAATTCAAACATAAACACCCATGGGTAAAGGGTACGACAGGACTCTGTTGTATAATTTTGGATAAGAGAAAAACATATAAACAATGGAAAAGTATTCTCATAGATAACCTAAAATAACCTCAAGATGGGTTGGGTGTGAGTGCCTTAAGGGAGGGCCTTTGATCAAATGGACTTTAAATCTTGGGTTACACTTCTATTTTCCACCTTTTCATAAGTATCAGCCTTGCAGAATATGAATTTACTAAAGCATGGTTCTAGGTAACTATCATTTATTAAATAGTTAGTATGCATCAGATATTTTGTTTCTAGGCATTTTCTGATTTAGTCCTAACAACACAGTGAAGTAGGGGCATGAATATTACCATTTTATGCAGGAGTCAGAGCAGAGGAAAGGAATTGTCCGCTAAATGAGCCCTGTGGCTTGCTCTGGGCTGCCGGGTACAGAAATAGGTGGGACCATCAGCTCGCCTTGTCCTCAGAGGGAAGAGCTGCAGGTGCTCTCAGCCCAAGAACACAGTGGCAAGATTTTGTCTGCAACTCCCCTGAGTAGCCCAAATCCAAGATCAGCCCGGATTTTCTTGAGATATGCAAGGCCATTCTGCTACAACCCCTATAAAAAGGAGAAGTGGTATTGGGGAGTGGTCAGGGTCTCTCTCCTGGGTCATGGTCACAGGATACCTGTCCATGCTGGCAGTTAAGTGAGCCTCTCGTGAAGGCCTGGAGGACCGCGTGCACCTGCCGGCCTGTGCGTCCACGTTGCTTGCACCAAGCTAATGTGACTCTTTTTTGGGCTTTGCCTGAGCTACTCACTCAAGGGTGGTGTATCCCAGGCTGCTTCAAGTCTCCTGACATGGGGGAAAGTGAACCTTAGAGAAATCAAGAACTTTGTCCAGGATTACACAGACTGCCTGTGTTAGAGCTAAGATTTAAATTCGCATCCATTACTTTCTAAAGCCTGTGCTCTTGACAACTATATGAATCATACATGCATTCACCTTTTAAGTATTTATTTATTTATTTATTT